TCCATTCAAGTACCTAATGTATAATCACTAGGGTGGAGAGGGAGGGATTTAGACCTTATTTCAGTTTACTCATAAAATTACAATTTCATTGCGCGTGCTTCGCACGCTTATAAAATTCCCAATTTTATTTCGTAAACTGAAATAAGGTCTAAATGCGATTGTTTAAAGTTCTGATCCCTAATAAATCTGTATCCTAACAGTTTTGCATTGTAATATCATCTGATTCATTTAGTTTAGAACAATGTTTGCAAATTTCTCATTGGTGGTTTTTTGAATGCCTTTTTCGTAATATCTATGAAAGGTTTTAGCTTTTGACCAGTCTGCACATTTGATAATTTCAGCAACTGACATCCCAAAGTTTCTGGCTTTGGAAGTAGCCGCTGATCTAGTTGAATGAGCCTGGAATTTCTTGGTATCAATCCCTGCCTGTTCCATCAGCTGTTTCAGCCAATTAGAAACAGTTGATGTGACAACTGGTCTATGTGGCTTGGAACATCCCAAGAACAATTGATGTTCCTGCTCTGAAGATACTCTCCAGCACTTAGTTCTGTGTAGATAAGCTCTAATTGCGGATGTGGGGTCAAGTTCAGGTATGTCAGATGCATAAACGGTCACTTTGCTTGGACAAGACCCCACCTTCCGTGTTTTTGTCAATCTAGTAATAACAAATTCAATGTGGTCTCCAAAATCTGAAACATTGTTAGGATCTAATTTGTGCAACTCAGAAGCCCTACTCGCGTTCGTCAATGCTAACAACATCGCCGTCTTTTGTGTAAGGATCTTATCAGGTAAGTCACTGTTTGGGCCTAAACTTTTGATGTACTCTGTCACTGTGTCAACGTCCCAAGTTTCGGTATACTTAGGCTGGGGAGGCCTTTCATTGAATATTGCTCTCATTGTGTTCTTAATTTCTTTCGTTTGACCTACCGGTTCTCCCTGCACATGGGGATGAACCGCTGAAATAGCTGATCTTATTGCATTGATTGTGCTGTAAGAATAGCCTGATTCATACAGATGAGTGAGAAAGTTAATCACATTTGCCACAGAGGCTTGAAATGGATCAATTTCCCACCCCATGCACCAACTACGCCATTTCTGCCAGGAGCTGTTGTAAGAGTTCCTGGTGCCTGGGCGCCTGGATTTGGAGAGTAACTCGGAAGCCGATTCAGAAATGCCTTCTGGCTGGTTACAACTCCCGAGATTCTCCAGGCTGCAAGGGTAAGAGACCCTTGTTCCATCAGGGGGTGGGTCTCCCCTGCTGGAGACGACAACATCTGTGGGTCTGGAGGAAGGAGGATTGGCTCCTCTGTTAACAAGCTCATCAGAATAGGGAACCACGGTTGGCTTTGCCATGTGGGAGCTATTAATATGAGTTCTGATTTCTCCTTTTTTACCTGCATTAGGCAACGGCCTATTAATCTGAATGGGGGAAATGCATAAGGTTTCATGTCCTTCCATTCCATTAGGAAGGCGTCCGTCTGCCATGCTGTCGGATCTGGCCGCCAGCTGACATACCTGTCCACCTGTCTGTTCAGTCTGTCGGCAAACAGATCCACCTTTATTGGTCCCCAAATTTTGTTTATTTGCTTGAAATAAACTGTTTTCAGTTTCCAATTGCTGGAGTCTGAGTGGTGTCTCGACTCCCAATCTGCCTCCACATTGTCCTTCCCGGGAAGGTATTCGGCCGATATAATGTTCTTTCTCTCGAGGCAGAAATCCCAGATCATTTGGGCTACCGTCAACAAGTCCCTGGACTTCGTTCCCCCTTTCTTGTTGAGGTATGCCACTGCTGATCGGTTGTCCATCCTTAGATGGATGTGTACATCTGTTCTGCTCTTGGCAAAGGTCTGAATGGATAACCATGCAGCCATAAGCTCCAGGACATTGATGTGGTGTTTTCTCTCGGAGAGACTCCACACTCCACCTGTCCGAACTTTCCCATACACTGCTCCCCACCCCATTTTGAGGCATCTGTAGTTATGACTACATCTGGCCCTGTCGAGAGAAAAGATTTGCCGTTCCAATCGGCGAGATGATGTATCCACCATCTCAATTCCTGTTTGGACTCTACTGTCAAAGTCACTTTCGTCTCGTAGTTTTGTTTTGGTAGGAGAGCGTTCGTTCTCAGCATTTGTAAATGTCGATAGTGTAGTGGTGCTGGTAGCACCGCCATCATTGAGGCAGTTAGTTTGCCTATCAATGTCGCTAGTTGTCGTACAGTTGTGTTGGAACAAGTCAACATCATTTCGCACTGTCGAAGAATGCCAGTCACTTTGTCCTGTGGCAGTGCCAACGTCATGTCTATCGAGTTGACAGTGAAACCCAAGTACTCTATTATCTGACATGGTTCTAGGACTGACTTCTTCCAATTCACCACAAAGCCTAGTTTCTCTAGAATTTCTAGGGTCGAATCCCTGTCTATCCTCAATGCATCTTTCTGGGGATTGGCCAAAATCAAGTCGTCTAGATAAATTTGGGCTCGGATTCCTATTCTGCGTAAGAAAGAAATCACTGGTTTCAAAAGCTTCGTGAATACCCTCGGTGCTGAAGCAAGTCCGAAGGGTAGGCACTGAAACTCGTACAGTTTGTTTTGCCAGCGGAACCTTAGGTATTTCTTGTGCTCGTTGCACACTGGGACACAAAAATAGGCATCTTTGAGATCTATTTTGATCATATAGTCCTGTTTGTTTACCAGCTCTGTCAGTGTCACTATTCCTTCCATTTGGAAGTGTTGGTAAGCAACACAACAGTTTAGTTTCTTTGCATTGAATACCGGTCTGTGACCCCCTGTTTTCTTTGGGGTCACAAACACTGTGCTCACGAATTGGTTTCGTACTGGAGAAACCCACTGCACTGCCCCTTTCTCTAACATTTTTGTTACCTCTGCAGACATAATGTCCATTTCTGATTTTTGCATCTTTAGTTCTGTTGGTTCTGATTTTTGCTGAGGAATTTGATTGAATTCTATTCTGTACCCCTGAACAATGTTTAGAATGTAACGATCCTTTGTCAACTTTTGCCAATTTTTTATGAAGTGTTTTAATCTCCCCCCTAGTTTGGGATCTTCCTGAATGACCTGAAAGTCTAGGTCCTGTAACTGACTGTGCAGTGTGTTTCCCTTTTGATATTGTGAAACATACATACCAACCCTCTGCCACTGCCGTCTCGCTTTCTGGTCGAGTTGGTGAAACGCACCTTCTGGAAAGAGTTGGTACTGTACCGGCCCCCACCTCTGTAACCCTGGTAACTTGATGAGGGCCCTCTGTGAAAGGGTCGACTGTTTCCTCTGTTAAACCCTCTAGTAGAGCTCTTGAAGCCATATTGGCTCTTGTTTTTGTAGTCTGAAAACTGTCTCTCAATGTCCAATCTCTTCTTTCTGTCCTTGGACAGCTTTAACAATTTCTTGTAAAAACCTTTGCCAAACAAGGCCTTCTTGTCACTAAACTTTTTCTCATTCTTTGAGAGAAATTTCTGGGCTTTCTTCTGACTTTTCATCAGCTTTGTTAGAATGTTCAGCCTTCTATAGAAGGTAGTGGCAACGTTAGCTTGCCCCAACAAACAAACAGTCTTTTCAACTAAATTCAAAAAGTCGTTCACATCAATCTCTTCACCACCTTTATCCCTGATTTTATCTACTGTCTGCCACACTTGACCGAGTGGTCCCATCACATTGAGTAGTCTTGATTGGATTTTTCCCAACCCTGCTTCAACAGATTTAGCCGCAGTAAATCTTTTTTCTTCCAACATATCTGACCATTCTTCATCAAGCTCTAGTGGCACAAATCCTTTTGGGGTCGGACAGCCCTCTAATATATTCTTGGTGATAACTTCATCTTTAATGTAGTGGTTGAAATGCTCATGTGCATAATCTAGCAGTTCGTTAGACAGTTCTTGTTCAGCCCTATCATCCGTGGGCTTAAAACGCTTATACAGGTGATTGTCAGTACTAACAGTACGATCGTTGGAAACACAATCCTCCGAAACTGACGATTCTGATGAACTAGTGTCACTACTTGAGCTGGATGACGAGCTATCGGAATGAGAACTACTTGTGCTACTGTCATTTCTTTTGCGATGACGATGGCGCGAAACGGCGTGGTCCCGTTTAGGAATTGTGAAACCTTTCCAGTCCTTCCTATTTCGTTTCCTGCTTCGATTCTCCGAATCAATATCCTTAGGTCTGCCATTGTCACCAACTGCCTCATGGCACTGGTTATTGTTTGCCTCGTGGCTGGTTCCAGCGGCCGTGGTTGCCTCATGGCTGACAGGCACATGGCGCCCATGCTTTTGGCTAACAGGAATTCCATCCTCGCCATCCGAAGCCAAAGAATGATCCGATCTCATGACGGTTAGAAAACCGAAGAAAAGAGTTAAGCCAAGAAGAAATCACAAAAAGAGCAAGACTGACGAAAAAACCATCGAAGATTGCTCACGATGAAAAACACAAGACGAGCACGCAAATTTTCCACGTCTTGCGTCTTCGGAAGCCAGAGAATCAAGGACGAGATCTCGTTTTTTCTCACGTGACTTTAAAAGGCTTGTGACTTCCGCCGGAAGCCAGGGATAATCGCATTTAGACCTTATTTCAGTTTACTCATAAAATTACAGACCTCCGTCATATAGCTGGAATATTGCTGAGTGCAGCGTTAAACACCAAACTAACAAACATTATTACCTTGAAATTTCTTGTTTCATGTGATGTCAAAATTCAGGGCACAAATAGAGGAGAATTGATGATGAAAAGTGTGTTGTGTTTGGGTATGATGCTAGATAGAAGACAAGATATTTTTGATAGTTATTTCCAGTTATTGACTTGTCAGTATAAATTTATCCATCAGGGCCAGTGTGGTGGCCCAGTGGTTATAGCATCTACCTGGGTTTGATTCCCTGCTTGGGTACAGTGTGTGAGCCTTTTGTCATTGTTCTCCCTGTAAGATAGCTCGATGTGATGCAAAACCTCAAGAAGTACGTCTTCTAGATGTGTATGTTTCTCTCTGCAGGTACTGGTTCTTCAAGTTTCTGGTTCTGTGTGGGCTCTGTGCTGGGGCATTCTTCATCCCCTCCACCTACAGTCTCTGTAAGGATAACACATTTCCTTCTTTGATTCTTATGTTAGATGTAATAATCATAATAATCGATGGACTATGTTTGTAATTATGATTATTCAAGCATCTGAAAAGTTCATGGGTAGTTTCAGTTACTTGTGATTGTTGGTGTTCTTTCAGACTGGATGTACATCGGCATGGCAGGGGGATTTCTCTTCATCATCCTGCAGCTGATACTCCTGGTGGACTTCACCCACTCTTGGAACGCTGCCTGGTTAGTGGGGGGTGGAGGGCAGTAGTACACTGACATGCCTAGCAATGCCAAAGCATGTAGTTTGTACATCACATTGCAGTGCCTTAGAATTCTAGCGGCCTATTCGAGAAGCTGTCCCAGTGCTAAGATTGTCGTGAAGGTGTTGTAGAGAAATAAGATCTTTGCTAAGTCTGTTCTTGAAGCTAAGTAGTCTTAAGTTTGCGACTAAAAGTAGACAGGGTCAGACCTGTCTCTGGAGCTTTATAAGGGCCAAATATGGAGCCAAATAAGATGATGGATGTCAGACGGCATGTTGAAGAATACATTCCGCAGTATGGGTCTACTGTATCATTTCTGACATCGGCACCAAGTGGTTTCCACATGCACTTTCAAAACACAAACAACAGGTCCTAGAATACATGCCACAAACATCACATTTACCAACTATGACCTATGACCTCAAGTCTACGTTTGCTGGAGAGTTTTCCGTCGTTACCGTACAGCGAAATATATAGTTAATATCCTCAGAAGTGTCTCTACTCAGAGTGTGTGATGCAATCTGTCAGGCTTTGACATGTGGCTTTACTGATATTATGCAAGTATTCCTTGTTGTGGTTGATAATAACAAGGATAGCATAGTTATCGCATTCTAAAGTCTGAAAAAATATCTTAAACAATATCAGGTGAGCGGTCTCACTGTGCAAAACTGTGGACTAGTTGTTGTTTGAGTTGAACATTGTCCATAGCTTAAGTAGTGCCCCGGCTATCTTCCTAGCTTTGTTTACAAAATATTTCGGACATATTGAAAAAACCAAAATAGCGGTTTAATTGTTTATTTATCAAAATCATATATATGTGTAAATATTTAAATTTAAATAAATAAATGAATACAAGACTCCAAGCTTGTTTTTACCACCGTCACAAAAGCTCACTGTCTAAGCTAAAATATATGTCATATATATGTAAGATAGCGTTGCGATAGGTTTAAGAAAGCTTCAGAATTTATGTTTTTTAGCCCTTAGTTGTTAGTCTTAACTAAGACAGCTTCATTAATATGACGACTCATGCGTTATATGTTTGCATGACAACATTCACAAATATGCAGTGACCTTCCTAGTTTCTGCTTGCAGGGTGGGCAGGAAGTCTGGCAGCGGCTCTAGGAACAACTGTGGGTATGCAGGTAAGCAGGACAGTCTCACGGCCTTGTAGCCTTGTGGCCTGCAACTGTGCAGAGTCGCCTCCCTTGCTGTTCAGATCCATTGTTAGTGGTTTGAATCCCAAATTGCCTGTTTGATGATCCTTGACCATTACCATATCTTAACATATTGAGTCTTACGTCGAGGCTCACTTTAGTCAGTCTTGCCCTTCTGATAATCAAGGTTAAGAGAAATTACTTTTTAGGCTTAATAGAATAAAAGAATTTGTTCTCAGGCATTGGTTTTTTAAAATGTAATGCAGTCGGGTGGGCAGTGTCTTTTTTTTTTTTTGGTTGTTCAAACTAGTATGTAACCTATATTGTGTACAATCAACCTCCCTACATAAATGTATTTCTTGATGAGTAAAATACTGGAATACAGTATTTGACTACTGTTGGACTTTGAATATTTAGGGATTTTTAGTTTTTTTTAAAATGGAAATATAAATGAAACATGTGGCGGACTTTGTGATGATGTGGGCGGTGCCTGAGAACCAAGATTATTATATTTTTTAGCCTTAGCTAACCCAATTATTGTTGCAAGTATGAGTAGTTGTCTGTCCATCTGCACTACAGGCACCCTGCTGATTGCTGTGATATTCTTCATCATCGGTGTGATAGGCGTTGTGATGCTGTTTGTCTACTATGCCCAGAATGACTGCAACACCAACAAGATCTTCATCGGCATCAACACCGGCCTCTGCGTCACCATCTCCATCATCACCTTGCTGCCATGTACAGAAAAATGTCAGTGGATGTCTTGGCATGTGTAGTTACCGTGGTTACTTACAATTGTATTCTTGTATTTGTGTAGCATGGCCTTCCATACATCCCATATAGCTTAATGTCAGTCTAGCCATTGGAGAATCAAACTGGGGCTCAGATGAGCTTTAACCATTAGACTATGTCTTCACACCTAGCCATTGGAGAATCAAACTGGGGCTGAGATGAGCTTTAACCACTAGACTATGTCTTCACACCTAGCCATTGGAGAATCAAACTGGGGCTGAGATGAGCTTTAACCACTAGACTATGTCTTCACACCTAGCCATTGGAGAATCAAACTGGGGCTGAGATGAGCTTTAACCACTAGACTATGTCTTCACACCTAGCCATTGGAGAATCAAACTGGGGCTCAGATGAGCTTTAACCATTAGACTATGCTATCACTTCCTTATACTTGGCACTAAACACTCCTTATAGTTGGGGACCGCCTCCGTGGTCTAGTGGTAGAGCAGAAGGTCCGGGGTTCAATCCTCGACCGTGTCATACCAAAAGATGTGGCGCTCGGCATTAAGGGGCTAAAACAAGGACTGCTCGGCTTGGAGTATACTGTGTCTGAGTGGGGTATTAATGTTAAACCGCAGCATGGTATCTCAGTGAGCTAGCACTATAAATCGGCATCAGTCCGGACTAGTACAAGCAGCCACACAAACACACACATGTACATGCACATCGCTATATAAGTGCAATAATCTTGGACGCGACGTTAAACCCCATTCACCTCACCTCACCTCACCGCATATAGCTGGAATATTGCTAGTAAAATGTACATCAAACAGTCAACTCTGAGGAGGAGCAAACAAATGTATCATGTCCGATCTCGTTCCTCTGTAGTATGTCTAGAGTGAGTCAGTGAGATGGGTTTTACACCACTTGTAGCTATTTTCGAGCAATATCTCAGTAGAGGATACCGAAGGTGCTTCATACATTTTATCCATTTGGTAATTTGTGAATCAAACCCAGGCTTTAGACGTGGTGATCAAACACTATCAACTGGGCTACCTCACCTCCCCTGTCAGGCTGGAGGGCTGTTGGGAACTAGGAACTATGGGACCGCCTCCATGGTCTAGTGGAAAGAGCATCTTCCCGGAGAGCAGAAGGTCATGGATTCAATCCTCGACCAGGTCATACCATAAGACGTTCAAAGATGGTACTAGTTCTTACTCTACCTGATGCTTGGCATTAAGGGGCTAAAACAAGGACTGGTCAGAGTAGTTTACTGTGACTGAGTGGGGTATTCATGTTAAACTGTGGCAGGTATCTCAGTGGGCTGGCACTAATAAATCAGCATTAGTCCGGACTGGTACAAGTAGCCACACACACATACACTCACACATGTGCATGTGAGTCGCTATATAAATGCAATGATCTTGAACGCGATGTTAAACCCCATTTCTCCTCACCTCACCCCATGAACTGTGGGAAGCCAAGGATTTTGTGATAGGGTTTCAGTGCTGTCAGGGTGAATGTGGTATCATGTTAGTAAACCACTCCGAGAGTAACGTTAGCAGAGGAAGTGGTGACCCTCATGATACTCATTATTATACAACATGAACATGATCATGACAGGACATGCCATTTGAATCCTCCGTCATTGTTTGTCTGGGTGTCATGGTTGTACATGTCAGTGGACTGCTCCTAGTTACAGGAAGTAACCTGTGTGCAGGATCGTGTACTATAAGTAGTTGGTATGTATACGCTATATATTCCACCCCTCTCCTGCATGCTCTGTTCTCTGTGTTCTGATGCTACTCTACTGTTTGTCTGCAGTTAACCCGAATGCCGGCATGCTGCAAGCGTCTGTGATCAGTCTGTATGTCCTGTACCTCACCTGGTCAGCCCTCACCAGCGAACCCCCAGAGGAGGGTGAGTTTACCACCCTTAGGTGTTAATAATGCCAGTATTAGGGGTCAGTTGATGCACCCTTAGGGGTCAGTTGATACACCCTTAGGGGTCAGTTGATACACTCTTAGGGGTCAGTTGATGCCAGCATTAAGGATCAGTTGATGCACCCTTAGGGGTCAGTTAATTCACCCTTAGGGGTCAGTTGATGCACCCTTAAGGGTCAGTTGATGCCAGCATTAAGGATCAGTTAATTCACCCTTAGGGGTCTGTTGATGCCAGCATTAAGGATCAGTTAATTCACCCTTAGGGGTCAGTTGATGCCAGCATTAAGGATCAGTTAATTCACCCATAGGGGTCAGTTGATGCACTCTTAGGGGTCAGTTAATTCACCCATAGGGGTCAGTTGATGCCAGCATTAGGGATCAGTTAATTCACCCTTAGGGGTCAGTTGATACACTCTTAGGGGTCAGTTGATGCCAGCATTAAGGATCAGTTAATTCACCCATAGGGATCAGTTAATTATCCCCCGCCGCGCGAAGCGGGGGATATAGTATTCACGACCGTCCGTACGTCCGTCCGTCCGTCCGTCCGTACGTCCCACCTGTTTGTTGCCGCGATATCTCAAGAACTAAACACTGGATTGTCTTCATATTTGGAACTATGGTGTATATACAGACTCCGCAGACACCAGTCGGTTTTGGTGACCTTGATCCCATTTTCAAGGTCACAGCAGACAAATCTGCTTTTAGAGTTGGAAAACGGTGTTGCCGCGATATCTCAAGAACTAAACACTGGATTGTCTTCATATTTGGAACTATGGTGTATATACAGACTCCGCAGACACCAGTCGGTTTTGGTGACCTTGATCCCATTTTCAAGGTCACAGCAGACAAATCTGCTTTTAGAGTTGGAAAAAGGTGTTGCCGCGATATCTCAAGAACTAAACACTGGATTGTCTTCATATTTGGAACTATGGTGTATATACAGACACCGCAGACACCAGTCGGTTTTGGTGACCTTGACCCCATTTTCAAGGTCACAGCAGGCAAATCTGCTTTTGGAGTTGGAAAACGGTGTTGCCGCGATATCTCAAGAACTAAACACTGGATTGTCTTCCTATTTGGAACTATAGTGTATATACAGACTCCGCAGACACCAGTCGGTTTTGGTGACCTTGATCCCATTTTCAAGGTCACAGCAGGCAAATCTGCTTTTAGAGTTGGAAAACGGTGTTGCCGCGGTATCTCAAGAACTAAACCTCTCGATTGTCTTCATATTTGGAACTATGGTGTATATACAGACACCGCAGACACCAGTCGGTTTTGGTGACCTTGACCCCATTTTCAAGGTCACAGCAGGCAAATCTGCTTTTGGAGTTAGAAAACGGTGTTGCCGCGATATCTCAAGAACTAATCGCTGGATTGTCTTCATATTTGGAACTATAGTGTATATACAGACACCGCATACACCTGTCAGATTTGGTGACCTTGACCCCATTTTCAAGGTCACAGCAGGCAAATCTGTTTTTGGAGTTGGAAAACGGTGTTGCCACAATATCTCAAGAACTAATCGCTGGATTGTCTTCATATTTGGTACTATGGTGTATATGGCGGGGGATATTTCGTCACTCTGTGACAAATACTTGTTCATCCTTAGGGGTCAGTTGATACACTCTTAGGGGTCAGTTGATGCCAGCATTAAGGATCAGTTAATTCACCCATAGGGATCAGTTAATTCTCCCATAGGGATCAGTTGATGCACCCTTAGGGGTCAGTTGATGCACTCTTAGGGGTCAGTTGATGCCAGCATTAAGGATGTGAGTTAGCAGTCAAGGTGGTGTGTTAGATGAGTGAACCCAAACTTGCTGGGACAGCCAATCTCCCCAAGCCCCGTTTAATGTCTCACATTGACAGTACTGAATTCAGGTGAAATTCTGACCTCAGGGCTTCTATTCCAGTGAACATCTTGGAGACATTTGCCACCAAGACTCAGCGTCTTTACCAGCAGGAGGATTCCCATGCTGTGAAGATTGGTCAGGTGGGCCAGCAGTTCCACCGGGAGGCTAACATGTCCTCTATGTACCGGTGTCGACCTGATCCATCCTTCCCAGAAGCTGATCTCATCTCTGCTTATGCTGGACTCCTTATCATGTTTATCATGGCTGTGTATTCCAGGTAGGTGGGGAATACTTTACTGTACATCTTAGCAGCATCAGTGTCAGCTGTGTCAAATGTAAACCATTCCATTCCCAATATGGAATGTGGATATTAGAGCAGTATGATAGAACAGAGACTTACAATACTAGAGCGGTTAAATAGAACAGAGGTCTGCTGCCAAACAAAATGTCTCATTGACAATACCTGAACACTTTTACATATGCATGTCTTAGTATCCCAATTACATAGATCGATGCTTGTGATGTCAATCACTGGCTTGTCTGGTCTAGACTTGACTATTTACAGACCGCGTCATACAGAAGGAATATATCTGAGTGTGGCATTGAACAACACACAAACAGACAAAACCAATAGTATTTGAAAAAGTATGTAATATATTCAATTTATAGCATTGTTTATATTATCCAAGACAGTAATGCAAGGCCTTGGTAGCAGTACATGATATAAACTACATATCAGCACTATTCACTATTTGTGAATACTAGGCCCAAAAGAGAAAATATTAATGTGATTCCTGAGATACATAAATTTATTTATTAAAATACACTGTGTGATAAATAACATAATAGACAGCCAAAATTACACCTATGAGTTATCAAAATTAACAATACTCTGTTATGATGTGAAGTTTGGGCCCAGTGATGTTGATGGGGATGCTGTACGGTACTACCCATCCCATGTTGGCTTGTTTCAGTGTCCGGACCTCCAACCAGTCACATAAACTTGGCATCCGGCGGGGCTCAGCTGCGGTGAGTTTGCCAAGTTAAGCTACTGTGAGAGAGTGAGTTGGATTTTACACCGCTTATAGCAATATTCCAGCAATATCACGGCAGGGGACACCAGAAATGGGCTTCACACATTGTACCCATAAGGAGAATCAAACCCAGGCCTTCGACATGACGAGCTAACGCTTTAGCCACTACCCCATCGCCCTGTTAGATGCATAGATATCAGTCAGGGCAGGTTATTCTCAATGTAGGGGCAGGGGTGTCCCAGTCTTCTTAGAGCTGCAATTTACAGTGTGAAATTGCATCATAGACTTGCCAGAAACCTATAATCGTAGAGCCAACTCAATTTCCTAAATCCCCTGGCTTTACATTCTCAGACTGAAATTAAAACAAATATTGAAATCTGAAACAATTTTTATCAACAAGTTAAGGTTTCCAACACACTTTTCATCATGTGTTCACGAACCTTAGAAAATGGTCGTAATATATCTCGTTATTCAGCGCCTCAATAGCCAAGTGGTTCACTCGCCGGGCTACATGTATAAAGGCTGCAGTTCGATTCCACTGAAACACTTGCAGGGAGAATAAGCCACTCGGGGCTGCGCCCCTCATGGTATATTCTCCCTGCAGTGTTTTATTGTACGATAAACAACTCCCACTTATCATATATTTCTTAAGTATATGACCATGATGACATGTCTGACCACTATCACTGATCACTTTGCAGGGAGACAAGACCTGGTGTTGCTGCCTCATGTACAAACGTGAGTAATTATCTGAAACTTCAGCGCATTTGAAGCCGAAACTTGGCATGGATGATGCCAGAAAAGTCTTTCACGAAGAAATGTGATTTGATTCTTCATATATTCCTCTTGGCCCTGTATTCACTTACTGTACAATGCTGTATGGGAAGTAGAAAACATTACCCGACATGACACTAGGTTGAGGTTGGTATTATGACTGAGTGGGGTATCCGTGTTAAACTGCATCATGTGTCTTTGTACAGGAGATAATCCATCAATTCATGGCGGGCAGCAGGTCGTGCAGAACGAGGCAGACGGAGTTATCTACTCCTACTCTTTCTTCCACTTTGTGTTCTGTCTGGCCGGACTCTACATCATGATGCAGCTCACCAACTGGTACAGGTACGTTGGGAGGGGTACAGGTGCATTGGGAGGGGTACAGGTACGTTGGGAGGTGTACAGGTACAGGGGGTACAGTTATGTTTGGAGGGGTACGGGTACCTTGGGAGGGGTACAGGTATGTGGTGTGGGGGTACAGGTACGTTGGGAGGGGTACAGGTATGTGGTGTGGGGGTATGGGAGATTGGGTGGGTTACATATATGAAGTGGGGGGGTGGGGGGGGTGAAGGTATGTGGGATGGGGGTACAGGTGCATGGTAGGGGGGTACGGGTATGTGGTGTGGGGGTACAGGTAAGGGAGATGGGGGGACAGGTATGTGGGTTTGGGGTACAAGTAAGAGAAATGGGGGGACAGGTATGTGGGGTGGGGGTAGGTGCATGGTAGGGGGGGTACAGGTAGTAGTGAGGGTACAGATAGTCTTAGATCCTTTCTGTTTTTTCCCTTCAGACCCGAGGAGACAAATATCGACAAGTTTGGGCTGAACTGGTCCGCAGTGTGGGTGAAGATGGCCTCCAGCTGGGTGTGTGTGGGTATATACACCTGGACTCTCTTCATCCCCAAGTGCTGCCCAGGGCGGAACCTGTCGTTCCCCAGACCACGCCAGGACTCAGTTGACGGCCGACATGAAGAGGAATGTCTCAATGATATGCCAAGATCTGGATCAAGGTCGTCCAATATTTCTTCAAGATCAGTCAACGAGGATCCTCGACCAGGATCTAGGATGTCCAGATCCAAATCTGCTTCCCGTGACAGGCTGAACAGACAGTCCCCTGCACGGACTCCAATCGAGGAGCGACCAAGCTCCAGATCATCTGCAGCTGCGAAGTCAAAAGACAGATACAGGTCTCCAGCAAGGACGCCTGTTGAGGACCGACCAAGTTCAAGGTCATCTAGAAGGTCAAGGTCACATTCACCAAGAAGAGATAGAGACAGACAGAGCTCAGTATGAGAGTGAGTCATGAGTATGTCCCGAGATGTTGTGATATATGTGACACTATAGGACAGACCAAGTTCAGTGTCATCAAGGGTCAAGGTCACAGTCTCCAAGAACCAATAGAGACTGGAATGAGTGTACAAGATGTTGTGATATGTAACTATTGGTGACACAAGTGTCCATGTTTTGTTTTTTATGGTATTTCATTGATCATGTTAATACCTCAATTTCTAGGTGACTCCTGTGTCCTAGAAGAATTACTTTTGATACTCAGACAACAGGTTTTGTACTAATGGCCATTGTATATTCAAATTCAGGTATTCACAATTTGTTTATGCAGCATCACAAAGAAACTATTTTTGTGTTGAACATTCGTTCCTCAACATGCACAAGTAGCCTAAAACATATGTTGTGGATCAGAATGATAAGAAGTGGCAGCTGGAATATAAACTACAAGTATATTCTCAATAGTCAACATTGTCAAGCCTTGCCAAAACATTCAGTATATACAACATGGCGTTGGTACCCATGATAACGCGAAAATGGAATCTTTGAACTTGTTAATCACCAACTCATTCATCAATGGCATGTTCATGGCTGATTCAGACAATTCTTCTTTTTTTACAATCATAGTCCTCATTTTCCGTTATTATCTCAATATGCTGATTCCAAGACTTTGTAACGTTATCAAGAGGGAGAAAGGTTTTCAGATTTTATCAGCCAATGCTTGATTTCTTTTTTATTGACATTTCATTGACGGTTTGCTTGGGAACATTTCCGAGGTCACAGTTTGGTTCTGGAGATGTCATCATTTAGTGCTTGCCACAAGTGTCCTATCTGTTGGTGAACCCTTTTCTGTTTGTATACCAAAACGGCAAAAGCCTTTGAATGCAGCAACTGTGATTGTGTTCCAGTCCTGAATCTCAGTGTGTGACACATCATAGGAAGTGGAATACAGACAGGGTAGTGGTATAACCCACCTCATTGTCCTCATTATTGTATACAGTAGAATACACTTGCATAGCAGCCCTTTTCATTCATGCAGGGCTATGAAATGGTTTTTGAAAAGACGAATATTTTGTCACCAATTTGTTCAGCATGTTCAGTAAATAATGTGTATCTTTAATCAGTTGTAACACTACCAGTTAGTCCATGTGTATGATGATGGTAGTACTGTGATGTTGGTGTACACAGTACTACAGTGAGTATTTTGTATTACAATGTTATAGTGATTAAGGTGTATTACAAAGCTACTATAGTGATTAAGGCGTATTACATTGTTATAGTGATTAAGGTGCAGGCAAAAGCTACTATAGTTATTATGGTGTATGCAATAGTTACTATAGTGATTAAGGTGTATTACAAAGTTACTATGGTGATAAGGTGGATGATAGAGACGACTGTGTAAGCTTATGATGTTCTAGGTGGTTAAGTTTCTATCCAGTCAGCAGAAATCCATGGTCCACTGACAGACTGTCACGCACACGAGTGACCCCTCGCAGGTGGTCACTTGTACGCGAGACGGGAGAGCCGTCTCGCGTCACGCTACGTCCTCTACTGGTCAGGAGCACTGACTAGCCTAGTGGTGCCTTATCAACGTAGATTCCATGTACATTCCCACTTTGTTTTAAGCCCATTCCGTATTGGTCTACTGCCAATGTGTACTTGTAAGTCTGATAACTTCCTGGGACTAGTTCCACAAAGCGGTCTTAGCGCAACGATAGTCGTAAGCCTGTGTTAAAGTATGGGAGTTACGATCATCTTAGCTAAGATCGCTTTGTGGAAGGGGACCCTGGTCCTATGTCCCGGTCCCTGTTTGGAGTGGGGCACCTTGCACCAAGATACTAACATTCCTTGAACTACACTGACCCTGACCTTTGACCTTTGTACCTTATATGTAGATTCCAGTTGTTTACATACTTTTATATGTTCATACTACTTGTAAACATGTCAGTGCAGCAGTTCTAGTGCTGAGATTATACAAATTGAATTTATGAATCCATTTCTATTTGAGAGTTACTAAGAATTATGTGCAATAAATTGCTTCTGTAGTCTCTCATCAAGAGACCATGTGAATCTTGTCATGTCTAAATGCTAACTAGTGCTTTCATTAATCATGTTTATGGTGCATGACAAACTATGTGTTTCTTGTCGAGTTGATTCTCAGAGAAGCCACATGTGTGATACCTGGGTAGGGTCAGGTAATGGGGTGGGGGGGTGGGGGGGGTGGGGTAAATTTGGACTCATCCCAGTTCAATTCAGTACAGCCAATGGGGCACGGGTGGCCCAGTTGTCAGGGGGCACTACCCTTCACTGAGTTGCATCCCTCATCACTGCCAGGGTCTGTGATTGTGGGCTCGAGTCTCAGACTCTCCCTGATTAGGATCCTGGCCAATTTAAGCTTGTTGGTTTCACCAAAGAGGTTAACGTCTGGGACCTGAAACCTTAGAACATATCTCCCACACGCCATTGTTGACAGCTTTTAGCAAGTTTAGCAACTCACTCACTCATACAACGTGCAATGGCACGTGGTGGATTGATTCTATATCCAACACACCAGCATTATATATGAGACACAAGAGAAGTGTCATTGTTGATCCAAGTGTTGTAACCCACGTTTACTATGCCACATGCAGATGGTCTGATATGTTCCTTTTGGCCATCGCCAGTCTTCCATTGCTTGTTCTAGATAACATTTTGAAAATGTTAATACCACCTAAACACTTTGTCAAAACCTGTCGATGTTTCAGAATTGGGATCAGCTGAAAATGTAGATTGTTGGTTAATGAAACAGTGTGTCTGTTGTTGCTAATATATCAGTAGAGTAGGTAAAGCATGCCACAGTGAGACCAGCCTAGGTCTAGGAAGCTGTTCTGACCTGGAATCACCACGGTGAGACCAGCATAGGTCTGGGAAGCTGTTCTAACCTGGAATCACCACGGTGAGACCAGCATAGGTCCAGGAAGCTGTTCTAACCTGGAATCACCACGGTGAGACCGGCTTAGGTCTGGGAAGCTGTTCTAACCTGGAATCACCACGGTGAGACCAGCATAGGTCCAGGAAGCTGTTCTAACCTGGAATCACCACGGTGAGACCAGCATAGGTCCGGGAAGCTGTTCTAACCTGGAATCACCACGGTGAGACCAGCATAGGTCCAGGAAGCTGTTCTAACCTGGAATCACCACGGTGAGACCAGCATAGGTCCAGGAAGCTGTTCTAACCTGGAATCACCACGGTGAGACCAGCATAGGTCCAGGAAGCTGTTCTAACCTGGAATCACCACGGTGAGACCAGCATAGGTCTGGGAAGCTGTTCTGATCGTGAATCCTAATAGTAAGGCAAGCATGGGTCTGGGAATCATTCTAGTCTGGAATCCCCGCAAGTGAGACAGCAGTATATGACCTGTATGTGTCTTGCTGTGGGAAGATGTAGAGCTCAGCATCAGGGTGGGGTGAGGAACACACATGTAGCTTGTTCACTTTGTCCAGTCAGCATTATTTTATCACTTGAGAATATGCTCTCACTGAGCCTGCTCCTCTGATCGTCTGACATTCTTTTTCTTCTGTTTGTTTGTTGGTAGTAAATAGTTGAGAATATGAGGTATAGGGATGATATTGTTGCTATGATTCAAGTGTTGTTATTTATTGTGTAGTTCCCACCAGAGGAGTTAAACCAGAACATCTCCCAGGTCTGGAAGGGTTGTATAATGGCGTATAGTTATGTCTTTGTTGTAATGATATTGCACACATTATATATATAACATGTTTTTTATCATCTTTACGCAAATATTTTTTGCTTTTTTATATTAGATATTCTTTGTTGTAGGGGGCACTTGCATGTTAGATTTTTTTATATTTGAAACTTATTGTCTTGTTTCTGTTTGTGCGTATTCTATCAGTGATGTTTTCTTGTAATGTTGTTTTACCTATCAAATAACAAACACCCCCCACAAAAAAGTCATTCTGTGATAAGTGATAACTGTTTTTTGTTGCAATTAACATGATTCGTGTTTAATTAAGAGAAATTGTTAATTGTGTTTCACTGGAACAATGAAATTGAAATATCTACTGAAGTTATCATACAGATGTGCCATAGACGTTGTGTGTTTGTCAGTATGCCGTGCTGTATTTTGGTATGGTTCTGTGTAGTGATGCACAACATGTTGACAGGTCTTGTGGACTGGCATGGCTGGTTAGATCCCTGTGCCTTGGATCAAAATGAAACAAGAAAGGGTTGTTGTGAGAACACGGGGTAGGATGTGCTTGGTTATCAGTGCCATCACACTGTGGTATATTCTAGGGGGCACCTGCACAAGGTATCTATGGCATTACCACAATTGTATGTCTTTGCTGAAGACAAAATTCGCGCTATGACTGTCGTAAGCCTATGTTAAGGTATGGGAGTTATGACCACCTTAGCGCTAAGATCGCTTTCTACATCGGCACTCATAGCTGTTGTGCAACATATAAACATATATAAACAAATATTTCCTACTTTCATCCTTCACATTGTGTTCTATTATACACATTGAGACTGATCGCTTCATCAAATGTTATTTGTCAGATGCTACATAGTGAAACCCGTTTAGTCTTGACCCTGATAATCCAGACACCCAGTATTCTGGATGATGACCACTGCGAATGTGTACAGTCATTTACATCAAGGAGTACCACTCAGTCTATCCTGAATTTTGAAATTCTCGATTCTGGTTGGTCATTAAGAGGTTCAGATCACAAGAACCACCTCTGAAACAGATGGTTTGACAGCCACATCACCACAAAAAGTAATATTAAAGAAAAGTCTTTCTTTCTCCATCATTGTCAGTAGGTATTCTGAAATCATTATTACTCTATGTACAACTATAGGTTACAACATGCAGTACATGTATGTATTATCCATTTGAAACCTGTTACCGTGTCTTCAGTTCAATAGTCCATTGAGCTGGTTGACAGGCAACCCAGCTCTACACTGTAAACACAGGAGGTTTATCCCCTAAATACTCATCATGAGTTATGAATAAGTGACAATCATGTTCTCCCAGCTTCTAAATGCCTATCAAAGACTTCTTCATTTGTTAATTTGGAAAGTTGTTAATCCTGACAATTTAAGCAGGAACATCACTGCCCAGACTTCCAGGTTTCACTGTGTACAATTAAAGTGGGGACTTCAGCCTTAAACTCAGCATTCATCACTACTCGCACCTTTTCCATAACCTGCAATGGATGAATGTTATGTGTGAAAATACGACTAAGATTGAACACAGTTTTAATAGGCTAGTGCTTTCAACTCGTACCACGTACGAGTCTCATCAGGCCATAACTGAAAAAAAAACAATCAGCATGCGCGTATGACTTCAGTACTTCAGTCAAAGAATCCCTCAGGAATAATTTATTTTACTTATGTCTTGCATCTAAAAATATACCCAAGATACACTTAAATGTGTTGAATCTCACTGTTCAATACTGTAAGTCCCGACGTGTTATAAATAACCTGGAATATATAAAATATATTGGGGAAATATACAAATCATAACGCAATGAGTTGACAATTCTTTCAGCTATGCCCGTTTGCACCTAAAGGGGCATTCACACGGTACAACTAGTGGTATACAACTTGTTGTATGCAATTAGTTGCACAAACTAAAGTTGTATACAACTCGGCATTCACACGGCGGCGAGTTGCATACAACTCGGGTCTCGCGAGATCTCTGACAAAAAGCTTGTGATTGACTTCACTATCGCTGGAATCTTGGTTGCCGAGTTTATGTTCAGACGCATTGCTTTGAAAAATCAACGCTGTGCGAGAATTGCGGTCGCGCGGTACTGGACCAACCTCTGACTTTGCAATTTAACGGACTTGTATAATATTGAATTTTTAACCCCATGATGGAAAATTAAATGTATAACGTGACACATTCGATACGAAAACGTACTTGTTTTGTGTCGAAAACACATTTTCCGTTACATGACGTCAAAACACGAGGGCGATGCCCACATGTACAAAGACAAAAAAAAACACGCAATTCCTAGTCATTGCAAAACTCAGTATCCGTCATGTCCGTGGTGAGCATCTGCTTTGGCTCAGGACAATATATTCTAGTATCTTTTTGTTTATGTGTATCTACAAAGTTCCCACACAGCTATCGATTTTAGTAACCACATCGGTTCCTTTTCTGGGACATTGAATGATTGTCATCCAAAATGTCCTGAAGACATATTTCAGATTTTGTTATGATATAGAAGAATGAACTATAAAAATCCTGAAAGTGCCCTTTGGCCAGTTGAAATCAGATACCTTAGCTTATTTCCCAATTTATAAGAAACGTTGGAATCAGTAACACAAAAAAGTAACAGTATATTACCAATTATATTCGGGTATAGTATGGAAAATTTCGATTAAAAGAACAGAATGTTGGGCTTATCACTACAACAGCTCCACAACCCCTCCACCCCCCAGCAACGCACACCCAAACCCCAACAGACCATGACCCACCTCCACCCATGAATCTCAAATGGTCGGCCCCTATTTTGAAACGCGCACCTGATGCAATCTTTAGCTGTCAATGTTCCGCCAATTAAACGTTAAAATCCAAATGTAAGACAAGTAGTTGTCCACACTTGAGTTATACATTAATAAAAATATAACGTGGCGAATTTCCTTCAGGTATACATTTACTTTAACTTAAGAAATGAAGTGCCTGTTTTATTTAACCTATCTATACAAATTTGCCACAATTAATATTTAACAATTCTCCAAAGGAAATATGTATATGCTGCAGTGTGTTACATTTACAAAGCACCTTATGGGAAGGATAACACGATGAATGTCTATGACCAAACAAACAGCTGATTATTATGAGTTTTATAAATTCTATGGCATTTTAGATTATATTAATAACAGTACTGCATACAGTGCATTATTTTGCTGGGTGAAACGATATTGAAGAGATATTCAAATTATAATTCAAGATTGAAACAGTAAACTACTTCATGAACTGAATGCGTTGTGTACTAGTTCACCCGCACCTCAAAGAAAATAACAAATATGTACAACGATGTTGATGCTGACGTATACTAATATGACATCACTACCGGTAACCTCCCGTCATAACTTAGCGAGTTCACTGATAGCAGTACGCGGAATGTTTGGAGTAGTTTTACCGTGTAACTGGGATCACATACATACATAAATGA